ACTTTACGTCCTACAGGTCGCACCGGTTCAATGCTAGTGGACGGGCACGCCGATTTTTTGATACGGTAGGCGCGAAATGTATGTACGTAAGGACTGGTGCCCACTGCTATGACGTGACGAGACGCTATGAAGTACTCACACATTCCAGCTTTTCACGCATGTCAAGTGACTGCCCTCCCACCCCCCCCCCTGAATTGGCTACACTCCCCCTGGCTCACGAATTTCCTCGATTCTCGTGACACCATAGCAGCGGGCAGCAGTCCCACGTACATACATTTAGCGCCTACCGTATTCAAAAATCGGCCTGCCCGTCCACTTGCATTGCACCGTCGCGCCAGTCAGGCAATGAAAAGGAATGGCAAGGCTGCGATCAATTAAGTTTGAAGTTAACAAACCAAAACTTCAATGTAGAACTTTTCTGCTCTTGAACATTTTGGTAAAATTCCAATAATTGTGCGTTTTGGATTTCCACAAAATTTTGATTAACGCTTCTTCTAGGATTTAGGGTTAATCGCTGCGATGAGCGAGTTTTGAAGCACTACGATCATTTCTCATGTTGAACCCGGCCCAACCGACAGCATGTCAGAAATACTTAAACATAAGAGGTCAATGTCGAAAAAGAGCGCTTACCAAAAGGATTTTTCTGGGCCACTTGAGGCTGCATCTCCCGAAAGGCTATTTGCGGCAGGATATACACAACCGAAAAATCAATTGAAAAATTAATTCGAAAATTGGAATTCTAGGCGCTATAGCAAGATACGGGGACATTGTGGTGGAAGTGCATCTGAAATCTCGTAAAACTCGTATTTGTTAAAAAAACGAACTAAGCCTTAGGCGAAAAACGAAGAAGTCGAGGCTGTGTGAGCAGTTTTCATTTTTTCGAAATTCCTGCCCCTTTCTAGGACTTACTCTCAGAGCTTGCCCCTGTGTCTTGCGATAGCGTCGAATTGTATTTTTCAAAAGGGGTTTTCATCGAAATATTTCACAAGAAAAATTCAAACATGATCGCAAGGGATGTGATTACTGGCAGCCAGCTAGACGGCCTGGTATAGGGCATAACATATTCCGATCATTTCTTATCGTTAGGTACCAAATGCCATTTCAGCCGTGAGAAGGTGGACGAACCATTATGTATAAAAAATATTTTTCTTTCTTTTTTTCCAATTTTTCCTGAATTTTCCCATCGAATACTCGAGAGCTACTCCTTCAAACAAAGTTTTTCAGATCCAAGAGCGATGTCGCCCTCTGGTGTTGTCCGATGAGCAGTTGCACGAAATTAATGGTCGCCTTGGAGAAAAGCATGGAGGAAGGACTGGCCAAAGAGACAGGTTCGCTCAATCGTGGAAGTTCTCAGGGCAAAATAAAGGATTGAGGGGTAAAATATTAGAGCTGATAATTCTCTTCGCGTGCAGTGGGTAGCGCAACTATGGAACAATGGCAGTGTTTTTTGTTCGCCCACAAGGTTGTGAAATCAATTTGCCCGAATCCGGAGGAATGGAAGGCTTGGCCTAATGGTAACTGACAAGGAGATTCGATCCAAGGTTCACCCCCGAGCCATGAGCGTGGCGTTCCAATTCAACCCAGACCAACAGAATAATATTCTCATTAATGAAGCTTGGCAAGGATTTTTACTTGCTGCAGGTTTCTAAGTTTCATACAGTGGCCTCTAAACCATAGAGGGAGTAAAAGCTGCAATCGCATGGGGAACGGTTGTCCGCTGGGTTCCATCTATGACCGACTAGGGTGTATTACAAGGAGGAACGGGAGAAGCATCATGAGGTTTCTATCCCTCTGGACTGGCACCGCCTGCGAAGTTCGAAATGATGGTCACGTGAAAAAATTGTTACGTCAGAAACAGATTCTTCTAAGACTCGTCGTATGTTGCCGACTGCTGTTTTGCTTGCAGCATACTGTTTACGCTAAAAGATGTTTTTCAAAGCATATTTATCACGGGGAAGCCGCAGATGATGTGGGTGTTTCTTTTTCAGCCAATGGCTTCGTGTTACGCAAAAACCAAGCTGTCCAGGATAAGAGGACACAAACACATAGGGCAAAGTTCGATGATTTCATCAGCTGGAGTCAGGCCTGGGAGAGACACAGTCCAATTTTATACTCACCCTTCCCTCTCCCTGTCTGCCAAATATCGAGCATCACTCAAAGCACAACCCACGCAAGAGTCTTGTGAACGATTCCCTTTGGTCTGTAGGGACTGACTCCCAGGAGACAATAACAGATGTGGCATTTCCGTGCAGGGATCACCCGAAAAGAGCGCTATGGGCTGGAAAAGTCAGCGCAGCGTTGCAATTCTTTTTTATAGGCTCTTGTTTGCGCTCCACCTCTACCTTGCGCTGTTCTTTTCTCCTTCGCGCGTAGTCCGAGATGCTTTAGCCCCAACTTATTACAAGTGAGTAAGCCCTCACCTAAACGTGTTCGGCGGATTCTTTCCCTTTTTCCGGTACCGCCGGCCATTTCGCGCCAGCTCATTCATATTCGTGTGCAAGAATCACCAGTTTGGGTACCCGACAGGGGCCGTCGCGCGGCGAGAGAGCAGAGACGCGGACGAGCCGTAGCGCGTACTGTAGCGATTGCGTGTCACGATAAATGCAGTGTACTATTGTGAGTCCACATAACGCAGCTCGCGCTGCGATTGTCTGCGTCTCTGCCTTCTCGCCGCCGCGACGGGCTTCTGTCGGCTAACCCTCCCACCGGTGTGGGGTGCTGGGCGCATGCTTTAAGATACATCATTGAGAATTAAGATCACGTGCGCCATCTGTGCTTATTGAGAAAGCGGTGAGAAGGGATACCCTGCAGAGAGAAGAACCGCACTCGATATCCTTTCTGATAAGCTTGTGCTAGTTCGGAGAACGCTGCCTCGTTAGTAGCAATTGCCCGCTGCACTGAAAGGAATACGTTTTTATTGAACCTTTGGAGAACATTTTCTTGTTAATGCAGAATTCCTAGACATTCTGAGTGATGGGATGAAGCACGCTTCGATTATCCAATTAACGCATTTAGCATCGACAGCCGCGGTGAAAATGCTTCCGTCGTACGTTCGAGCAGTGCCGAATGGGAAGGAATGCGGAGATTTTTTGGCGCTCGATCTCGGAGGCACCAATTTTCGGGTGCTTCTCATTCGATTGAGTGGCCGTGAAGCGGAAATGACCGGCAAGATTTTTCGAGTGCCTGAAAGCGTCATGCGCGGAACGGGTGAAGCGGTGAGTTCTCGAGGGTGTTGACAAGCACAAGAACGTATGCAATTGATGTTGGGGTGATTTGAGAGGCTTATGTAGCCATGAAAGTCTGTGAAGGGAGTATGTTGGAGAAGGGCTTTGCTACGTTCATTTTCTGGGCATTGCTAATGATGCAGTAGTGTGGCGCTTTCTACTTGAAGTAAATGATAAAAACTCGACGTTAACCACCCTGCTTCTGAATTGCGCCACGCAATCGACCTGCAATCAGGATCGTAATGGTGCTTGGATGCAGTTTGACCTAACGAAATGAAATTGTTGCCATTCAACGGGCAAGACGTTATTTTTGCACCACCAGACGAGTTCGGACCACTTAGGCCAAGCTACAGGAGTGGGAGTCTTTACATTGTAATTCCGCGGTCAGGAACTTCGGTGAAACTCCAGTTCGGGGGGGCCACTCCATTGCTATCTTATCCGTAGTACTAGAGAGCAGTTCTTTGGGCTATCGAACACTACGGATAAGATAATAAGTGAACGACTCATTTCGAGCGTACTTTTGATAAGGACCGGTGGATGTCCTACATTCCACACTACCTGCCCACATCCCATCCACTTTTCTGCACAGGTGATCCACCCTGGAGCTCCTGCACCCTTAGCCCTTTGCGGAGGTGTCCTTTCTCCTGGTCCAGGACCGTTCCCTTGGGTCATGGCAGGCGGAAATGTGTTTCAGGGTTTCTCACCCATTACACCAATATTTATCAGAAGTCTACTTTAAATGAGTCGATTACGTGTCGTGAGCCCTAATCCTTATCTTGAGTATTGAGAAAAGGAGAGGCCCCCCCCCCGAACTGAGGAAGTTTACCAGAACTTCACTATAGTATGCAATTACAGGTAATTTCACTACCGTACACACATTATGCATACGATGGTGAAGTTAGTTGTCACTGGTCCTCCTTCATTCGTAGAAATGACGTCAAAGAAGGTAACAGCTGAAAGTTACGAAAGAGAGATGAGAAGAAAAATGAGGATCATTGCCCTGAATAGGATTGCATGTTTTCAGCATTACAACAAAGTCACCTTAAGCATTACAAAAAAACTTCCTTATTTCAGCTATTCGATCATATCGCCGAATGCATGGCGAAATTTATGGTGGAACAAGGTGTGAGTGCCGCTCAGAAACTCCCCCTCGGGTTCACCTTCTCATTCCCGTGCAAGCAAGAAGGATTGACGTGGTTGGTTTTTTGTTCACAGAGCTCTTTTTGTCAACGTGCACTTATTTTTACCATGTTCCGCACGAAGCGGGCTCTATAAGGCTTACCTGCTCATTAGTTCGCTTTCGACCTTCACTTGCTGTTGTACGCAATGTCAACCGACGTGCTCGCCCTTGTTCAAGAATTTTCGCGACCCCCCTCCCCTTTAGGGGTATTGAAAAGACCCACCACCACCACCAGTCGCAGAAGGCCTCCCGGCTCCCCAATATGGTCACCCTCCTTCTTACCGCGACTGCCACCCTCGTCATCATTCGATTCTAAGGCTAGTCATCACAGACAACTCCGACCATTTCTTTCCTCCAAAACGGCCGTCGAGCGACAGGAGAAGGGGGGTCAGCTTCCACAAATTCGACTCCCATTCGCACTTGTCCCGGAAGTGGTTAGCCTTGCTCAACCCGAAATATGTTTGCAAAGGTCAAAGGGTGCGGTTGCCGCGGCCGAAAGATAAAATCTGGATAAGAAATTTACAATTCAATGCCTCAGAGGGCGATTTATGAAAATTAAAGCTCAAATAGACTACTTCTGAGCACTGCGTGTTTGCGTTCATTTATGAAATGTTTTGGTTTACAGTGCGAAGCTGATCAATTGGACAAAAGGCTTCAATGCGAGCGATGTGGAAGGCTCTGACGTCGTAACCATGTTGAGAGATGCCTGTAGGAGACGAAAAGTGAGTTGTGTGACTCGTAGAAACGTTGTTTATCGCTCATGAATCACTTCCCGTTCTACCAACATTTCCTGGAAAGGTTCGCTAAATTCAGGACATCGATATCGATGTGGTAGCGGTTCTGAATGACACCGTTGGCACTCTCATGGCGTGCGCCTTCAAGGAAAACAGCTGCCAGGTTCATTTGTAGCTTTAGTCCTTGGATCTCATGAAACTCAAAGTCGATGGACATGCATTTTCATGTGAAAGAAAACTAAACATCGTGTCAGGAAAATGGTGTAATGGCAAAGGGGTCTTGTCTTGTGCTTTTTCTAGCATTTTTTCTCATTTTACATGTTCGCGATCGGAGTCAGGGTCAATCCTACGTTGTTACTAGTAACAACGGGGGGGTCGTACCTGGTTGAGTTTATAGGAGGGGAGGGTCGTATCCGCTTCAGTCGCGTGAAATTACATGTGAGTTTGTGGTGAAAGTGGAGTTTTCACGAGTGTAGGTGAGTTGGGAGCAGGGTCAACCGTCCGTTGGACAAAGTCCAACGCGACGACGAGAGTAATGCCGAGAGTGAACGTACGCACGGAGACACAGACGGCTCGCGGGTGGCGAGAGTGAATGCCGGCGCGGAGAGCGGTGAACATCGGTCCAACGTCGCTCCAATATCGGTCCAACGTAACGGTTGACCCTGGTTGGGAGGCGACATGAGAGAATTCCCGTTTCAGCGTGGCGTATTACCTTCTCGAAAATGAGGTTGGGAAGAAAGGTACCCCCCCCCCCCCAAATTGGGTAAAAGTAGGGGTGAAATGGTGGAAAAAGAGGAAATTATAGGAAATTTTCGAGAATTTTTACCGTTTCGGAGTAGCTATATACCCCCTCCCCCCGCTTGGACGGCAATTTTGGAGGAAAAAGTGGGCGGAGTTTCGTGGGTTGAGTGGTACCAGAATTAAATACTATAGAGAGGATGATGGTGGGTCGAGGTGTGGAAAAGGGGGTCGTATCAAGTCCACCTTGGGGGAGGGGGGTCGTAAAAATTTTTGAAAAAGTAACAACGATAGGACTGACCCTGCCGCCAATTCTTACAGCTTCCCACCATTTTATCATTCACTCCCATTTGTATGAGATGCTTTTATTGCAGACCCTCCCCAAAATCCTTTCCTCTCCGCAAGGCTTGGTCCCAAGTACTACGAGTAGCTGACTGCTCACGCATCCTTGAGGCGATGTCAGACTTTGCGAATCGCGCGATTCGCTAGCGTCTGCGGTCGCGTCGCGGCCAGTGAATCACTCAATTGGCTAGTACCGCAACGCGACCGCGGACGCTAGCGAATTCGCGCGAATCGCTAGTAGCGAATCCAATTCGCAAAGTCTAACATCGGCCTTGTGTTGCTCCTCCCCAAGTCTGGGGCTTTGTCCCGTTTTCAACGAAAAGAAGATGTTTTATGCGGCTTCGAATGCATTGCCGCCGCAAAGCCCCGCATTTCGCGATGGTATCGTTGTGTTTAATCAAAATATAGACCAATTCATGTGCTCTGATTTTACCGCTTTTCCCAAGTGCTTGTGCTAGAAATATGTTCACGAATGCGTTCAGGTTGGTGTGATCGTTGGAACCGGCACCAATGCTTGCTACATGGAGAAATTGTCCCGCATCGGAAAACTACAAGGAGAATTGCCTGAAGA